GATCGCTTATGCTTCTTTAGGGAGGTGTAATTTGAGCGTATCAAATTTTGGCGCCGCTGCCAGGGAATTTGGCCTTTAGATTTATTTTAACTACATTATTGAACTTTAGTCAAATATTTCCTAATTTTACTTGTTCTTGTTGTTTTTGTCTCTCTCAGGTTCTGACTCTAGTGTATGCCAAGTACACGGAGCCAGGGTGAACCACTTACTCTGTACGATCTAGATTTGAACCGAACTTTGCGAAGAATGAACAATCAAGGAGTTCAAGTTAATCCTATCGAAGGAAATTTGGGTGATGAAGTTGAGTTGCAACCTCCGAGGGTAGTTGGTGGGGACAACCAGGTTCCAGCTGAAAATCAATTGGGAGATGCATTAAGGGTGCAGGGTCCACCAGGCCCACGACTACATGACAACTATAGGGGCAACGTCAATATTGCTGACTCTGATGGACCTCTTATCCTACCTCCTTTGCCTCCGGGGCACACATTTGTAGTGACCAGTAGCTTGATGCAGATGCTTACAGCGAGGGGCTTATTCTCGGGGTTGCCATCGGAGGACCCACATGCTCACATAACCAAGCTAAGGGTGGTTTGCAAGAGCTGTGTAGGTCGACTAGACTTGGATATGGATGTCATCGGATTGCGAGTGTTCCCTTTATCACTGACAGGCGATGCTTCTTTATGGTTTACTGAGCTTTCTTATAACTCAATCTATACATGGGACCAACAGAAGGATGTGTTCTTAGCAAGATATTATCCAGTGTTCAAGAAGCTCAATCACAAAGATAAGGTCAACAATTTGTGGCATTACTTGGAGAGTCTGTGAGTAGCTCTTGGGACAGATTCACTGCGTTTGTAAGAGGTGTTCCGAATCACCGTATTGATGATGAGTCGCTGAAGGAATATTTCTATCAAGGTTAGGATGACAACAATAAAGTAGTGCTTGATACTATTGATGGAGGTTCATATGGTGAGTGCACATACACAGAGAGTGCAGAAAAACTGGAGAAGATCTCTCGCAACAATAAACCATGGGGCACTTGGAGGTCGGATATTGGGAGAAACACATTTGTCGTTCATGCTACAAACAACCAATCTGCGGATGAGATTTGTGAGGAGATGGCTTAGATTAGAACCGACTTGGGGTTGGTATTGAAGCATGTGAGCGGAGGTGCGGAAAAGGTAAATGATGTGAACTACTTGACTAGAACTCCACCACCAGTTGAAGAGTGTTACTATGAAGATGATGCTTATGCGGTGAATGATCAAACGGGGGATTTTTGACCAAACGCCCAAGGATCCAACACGGACAATTGACGCCAAGGTCAAGGAAACCAAGGTTGGAACTATGGCAATTACAACCGCGAGGGTCAATATGTACGGGATGGGAACTACAATCGCGATAACAATTACAACTGGAATAACTATGACAACAAAAATGATCGGGCTGGACCTTATGTTCCTCCTCAAAATCGAGATTATGCTCCTAGGGAAGCTGGAGGTAATATGTCACGTATTGAGGATATGATGCAGAAAATGATGAGGAGGTTTGACGCGAGTGATGAGAATGTGAAGGAGATGTGAAATGAGTTGTTCGGAATTAGCCAGAAAGTTGATTCCCATGCAGTGTCGATAAAGCAGCTTGAGCAGCAGTTTAGTCAGTTGTATGCTACCGTGAATACACGCCAGCTGTGCACATTTCCTAGCAACACCATCCAGAATCCGAAGAATGATGGGCATTGTATGGCAATCACGACTCGCGGAGGAAAGCAGACTATTGAAGTGGTAGAAAAAGGTGATTATGAGATTGAGGTAACTGGAGAGTCCAATAATTCTACAGAGAAAGAAGCGGAGAAAACCCAAAAGGTCATCCCCATGCCTAGACCTCCACCTCCTTTACCACAAAGGTTAGTGCAGAAGGCTGAACAAGGAAAGTACCGCAGGTTCATAACTATGTTGAAACAACTTTCCATCAATGTCCCTTTGATAGTAGCTTTGGAGCAAATGCCTGGGTATGCAAAGTTCATGAAGGACTTGGTTACCAAAAAGAGGGCTGTCGGTTTTGAGAATGGTGAGAGGTTGCAGCATTGTAGTGCCATTTCTATGAGGTCACTGGTACAAAAGAAAGAGGATCCTCGAGCTTTCACTATTCCATGCACCATCGGTAAGATGCACTTTGCAAAAGCTTTGTGTGATTTGGGTGCCAACATTAACTTGATGCCATTGTCGATTTATAAGAAGTTGGGTTTAGGAGCTCCAAAACCAACTGCGATGCGTTTACTTTTGGTTGATAGAACTGTGAAAAAGCCCATTGGAGTGCTTCAAGATGTCCTTGTGAAAGTGGGGCCATTCATTTTTTCGGTAGACTATGTTATACTTGATTGCGAGGTTGACTTTGAGGTCCCCATCATCTTAGGGAGACCATTCCTTGCTACTGGGCGTGCCTTAGTTGATATGGAAAGAGGGCAGATGAAGTTCTGACTAAATAAGAAGGAGGTGACCTTTAACGTCTGTAAGTCTATGAAGCAGGAAAGTGATCTTAAATCGGTATCGGTGGTGAGTCACACTTTCGGAAGAGGTGCTGAAGTGTTTAGTAAGGAGAAGTTAGGTGTAGCCTTGTACATGGATAAGAAGTGCCATGCTCAAAAGACAGAAAAGCGCAAACTAGCTCCTGGTGATCTGGTGTTGTTGTATAAATCAAGGTTGTGCTGTTTTCCGGGCAGATCTAAGTCCCAGTGGACTGGACCATTCAGAGTGACCCAAGTGTCCCCACATGGAGTGGTTGAGCTCGAGAAAAGGAACGGAGGATAAAAAGCTACATGGGAAATTCTGAGAGTGTAAATGCAGTGATAGAGGCATGGCATCTTGATGAAGTATGAGTAATCAAGGGGCCTGCGTCGTGCCGCGACGTTAAATCAAGTGCTGCTTGGGAGGCAACCCAAGATGTACAATCTAGCCAACTATAGTTTTGTTTTGCGTCTAGTAGTTTCTTTGGTTAATTACGTCTTTGTACTCAATTATATAGGTTCTTTAATGTCTTGGTTAGTGTTGGCTAGATATAGCATAAGGTCCATGTCTAAAAAGTGTCCAGAAAATGTAAAAAGAATGGCCTAATGGTTGCTACATGTACAGGTGCGCAAGGTAAAATCTGTAGAAAATGGTCTGGTGCAGAGGTCTACGGACCCCATCGACGATCCGTAGTCTATTCTACGGACCGTAAATGGCGTCTGTAGATCCCAGGTAAGTGTCTGAAATTTTACAAAGTGTGAAGGTGATCTACGGTCCCCATCTATGGACTGTAGATCGACCTACAAACCGTAAGTGTGGTCTCGTAGGTCCAACCCCAGCTAAATCGGACCCACTCGCTTGTTGATAGGTCTTAGGCGCTTAGCACCATAGGTTTGATCCACCCAAAACATTACTCTTTTTATGTTTTTTTTGTGCATTGGGGACAATTGCACCATATTTTGTTGGGGGTGGGGTAAATGGATTGTGAGTGATAGAGTGAAGTTTTAGTAACCCAACTCATAATCCTCTCTTGGGGTTTTCTTGCCTGTGCTCTTTTTCCCCAAGAGACTGTTTAATTTCTGTTGAACCGGCATGTGTTAGGATCGTATATGTAAAAGCATGAAAAAGATGAAGCATGATGGCTTATGAAAAATGATACCCGTCCAACTTTTGTATGTGTGCTAGAATTTGTAGGCTAAGATAAGTTGAATGTGTTGACTTTGAGTATGACATGCTAATGAATCAACTTGATGGCATGACTTAAGCTAAAACTTGAACTGGGTAATCTGATAATGAAACTATGTGCCAAGAGTGTGTGAGAATAGTTGATTGTTCGAACAGTTTTTGTGCCAACCTTGAATTTGCCCAGTTAGTCCTGCTAAGACAATCTTCTCTAGAGGCTAGGAAGTGATCCTGCCCTTGTTCTGATAAGTCCACAAATTGCCAAAAAGAAGAATCCAACCAAATGAAATAAATGCTCCCTTTGATCCAAATGCTTTGAGCCTAAATTAGACCATTTCTTTCTAAACCCCTAACTCACCTTCCCATAATCTACTATGTTGGCCCCGGTCCCTCCTTGGACATGTGCACCTCGACTTAGGCCAAAAGCCTAAGTTGAGGGTGGCTAATTAAAAAAGTAACTTCAATTTTGGCCTTGACCCGACATCGAGTATTGTGCACCTCAACCAATGGAAAATCCATAAAGTTGAGGGTGGCTATGAAAGAGGAAACTGAAAGAAAAAAGGTAGGATGTCAAGAATAGGGCAAAAAGAGGTAGAAAGCCTAATGTAATGTCAAGAAGGGCAGAAAGTCACTAAAAGTACCCAAATGTACCACATCTGACCCTGAGCCTACGTTACAAGCCAAGAAAGTCCTATAGTGATCCTAGAATCTAGTTTGGAGAGTCTACACAGTGAAAATAAGGGCAAACCTAAGGTATTGAGCACTAACTGTACTTGAAGTTACTTCTGAGTGTGAGTGTTGAATGAATCCTTGTACTCAAATTCATATTCATTGTGTGAAAGAGGGATTTCGTTTGAAGTAAGGGCACTAGTTACATTGTCGAAAAGTTGGTACCTTGGTGATAGTGAAACAGTGTATGTTGTGTGTTGGTTGGTCGATCTTTGTCATATTTTGATCCGCATGAATTAGCATGTCGAGTCTAAGAGAACAAATTTTGCACCCGAAAAGAGAGTTGGGATAGAGTGCCATGTGATTGCTTGTGCTTAAATTGCTTGCTTCTATACAAGTGTCGTTTAGACTCTTAATGCGTCACTTGAGGACAAACAACGAATTTAAGTTGAGGGTGTTCGATAATCCTCGAGTAAAAAAGAGTGTAATCATTTCATTTCTTTCTTTCTTTCTTTCTTTCTCTCTTTTCTTTTCTTTTTTACCATAGTACAAGAGTGAGTAAAATGGAGGTATCAACATGTATGCTTGGGTATTTTTTGGTATTCATTGAGGGTAATTTAGTAATTGCGCTTTGTTGCATACCTTACCTTGTATTATTCCACGTGGTTGTGTGGTCACAGTTCATGGCATCCATGCTTGCTTATGTTGGGATATACTATTAACCATATGGTTGAGTTATAGTATTGATTTTAATCCTTTGTAAAGACTTGTAAGATAAAGTTGGACAAACATCTTGATAATTGTAGTACAAGATTAAATATAATTCGATCTTAATTATGAGAATGGTAAAATTTCAACTTTTCCTGTTAGTATATTTTGTATGTATTGAACATATCAAATTGAGATATTCGTTTAGGTTCTGAATTTTAAAAAACAACATCTCTAGTCCATTACATGTACTTATACTCTTAATCTTGATAAAATTATTATGATCTATGTAGTTTGTTTTATTATTTTAATCTATTAAAATGTGAGACTTTATGACGAGTCAAAATATTCCTAATGGATTCGTGAAAACACCCGTTATGGTTGCTTGAATTATATATATATATATGTGTGTGTGTGTGTGTGTCACGTGAATTAATTCAAGAATAAAAATAAAGGATTAAATTAATCAAAGAATTAAATTTTTTAGAAGTTTGATTTAATTGATTGATGTCGGTAATTCTAACATGGGGAGTGAAATAAGTGGTAATGCTAAAATTCAAAATTAAAGAGAGGAGTACAGTTCCGGATTTTTAGTGGTACAATCTATGATTTATTATGATATGGTTAATTCATGTTTTTACAAATTAAATATTATAGTTGGAAGCCTCTGCTAATAAATTTGTTGTCCCTACTATGCTTGATTAATTGATTGAGTTTAGAAAAGAAAATGACTGCTAATATTTTTTTCTCGTTTAGGAATAAATCATTTTTTACTTTAAAATTATTTATTAGTTTAAAACAAGAAAAAAACATTTTATTTCCTTAAAAGAAGAAAGAGGAAAATACTGCATCTTGTTATTTCCTTAAAAGATGAAAGAAGCAAATACTGTTGTTAATGGCTATTGATGGTGTTTAATGAATATTGAATACCCGTAATGATATTAAATGATTGTTAATGACTATTCATCATGACTGAAAACGTTTTTATCTTTCGAACATTTTCCCTCTACTAAAAGTATAAATAGGGGTGGTGGTTCTCAAGGAAAGATAATTTTTTTATGAACATATTATTGTCCACACAAGACTTGATTGAGAGAGTTAGTCATGACTCATGAATTAGTAGAAGACTGCAATTATGGAGTCTCTGTTCCTGAACGAGTTGTGTGAAAGCTTCAAAAGGTTAGAGTTTCACAATTTATTCATTTTACATTATTATGCTATTATGTATGTTCGCGATCTTAAATAATGTTTTTGTTGTGCATATTCTAACAACTTCCACCAATTTTCATCACACTCATCTATTCAAGACAATATTAAGAGGAAAAGACAGTGAGATTTCAGCTCCGTAACCTTCATTCTCAAGCTTCTCCAACAACAACCTTTTCATCTTCAATTTCCCCAAGTACTGTTGCAATTCTAAGGTAAGCTTTGGTCCTTTTTCAATCTTCCTCTTCAATTTTTTTAATTCCCTTTTGAGCTTCAATTTTTCAAGCTTAGGTTTTAGATTTAGTTTTATGGGTTGATAAATTTTGAATTAGAGAAAACACAAATAAAATAAAGTGAACCAAGTTTCTCGTGATTTTGCTTTAGCTTCAATTTTCCCCCCAAATTTCTACATTTTTTGGCTGAACATGTTTACGAAGCTTCAGTTTTAGATTTAGTTTTATGCGTTGATGAGTTTGAATATGAAAAGACACAAATAAAATCAAGAAAATCGAACTTCAACACAATATATGTTGTTTACGACTGTTTGAGGGAGATTTGACAAAAAGCTTGAAAGTCTGGGCAATTTTTTATTTTACTTTATGTAGTACTGTAAGTCATCATGTGCTTTAATTGTTTGTCACTTTTAAGGAAAAGATGGGATACAATGATGTGACATCCACTATTTAAGGGAATTAAATAGTAGTATTAGTATGTGGTGGTCTTTCATTTTTAAAGAAATTTAAAGAGAACTATTTTTTCATTTTCAAGACACGTGAAAATTATATAAAAAAATGTATTATTTTTTAATATGGTCAAAACATTTTTTTTGAGTTTTGAACTTTAATATTTATTTATTTTTAACATTCATATGTTGATATTTGAGTATATACATTATGGTTTATATAAATAATTTATTTGGTCTTGATTAATTCATTTAGACCTTATGTTCTTTAAAAAAAATTCTACAAATGATTGTGACTTATGTTGTAACATCGAATGGTTCAACCATTTTTATTGTTTCCTTGTTCCTATTTCAGACATGTCTGAACAGGAACAAATTCAAACTACTCCAAGTGGGAGTTCTCGAAGTCGAGCAAAGGGACAATGTAGAAGAGCACATCGCCGTAGGACATGTTTTCGAGGGCGAGAAATCATACGAAATGGTATTCCAAGGGCAACACAAAATCTGTTAAGGAATCACAAGACTA